GCCCAATGGGCCGCCAGCCAACCTAGATCTAGCCCATCAATTGACCACCAGCCAACCTATATGTAACCCCTGTATATTTTTCAAAGGGTTGAGCTGAATCAAGCTGAAGAAACAATCATTGAACATCAGTTGCCATTGAAGTTCAAAGAACAAGAGCAGTTTTGGTAGACATGACCAGCCTGTGCGCAGAACATGTTCGGATGAGCGTGGCCAACATCATGGTTCTCATGCCTTGGTTTGAGAAAGATGCAGACTTCCAGCTTGAGGTGTTGAGGGAGTGTTTGCTATGGCTGCGCTTCATGTGGTCTGACACGAAGGCACGTGGATCTGCAAACGAACACTTAGTTTTTCTCACAGCTGCCTGCCCATCTCAAGACGAAAATTTAGTTTTTCTAATTTTTTGGTTCTTTTAAAAAAACTTGTTTGAGACTATACTTTTGGTCGCCCAGGAACTTACAGAACTTATAAGTTAGTTACAAGTAATTTATACAACTTACGGTTATAATTAAAAAACTAATAAAACCTAAGTTCCCTAAGTACTACTTACAAGTTGCTTAAGTCCTGTAAGTGTCTTAACTAAGTTGCAAGTGCCACAAGTAAAAACGAACCACCAAGTAGGAGTTCTTGCTGCTGTGATGGTCCTATCGCCTGAGGCAAAGTGGGCGAGCGGTGATGCCAGGGTGTCTTTGACAGCGCTTACGGATAACTTGGGAAACGCTCATGTTCTTCGAAAGTTTGGCAGCAGTCGTTATCTACTGAGCATCATCGCCATGGAGCTAGCAACACAGCTTGATCGGAGAGGGATAGATCTGGACCTTCAATGGGTACCCAGGTGGCAGAATCAAGAAGCTGACGATCTGACAAACGAGCGGTTCGACGACTTCAGTGCCGAGAATCGCATAGATGTTCAATTTGAATCGTTGCGGTTTCTTGTGATGGATCGTCTGCTGACCAAAGGGGGACAACTGGACGCCGAACTCAAGCTGCACAGAACCTCGAAGGAAGCTAAGCTTGCCACCATGAAGGCCGACCTCGACACCAAGAAGACGAAGAAGGGTCAGCTAAGGAAGGCAGGGGGACGTTCGTCGTGGAGAAAGGTTTTCCCCTCACGATGTTAGAATGTTCTAGTTGAGTGGGGCGGTGTGGGCCTGCGGGCCTCAGGGGGAATGTAGTGAGGCCTCTGGGCAATAGCTCCTGGGAAAGATACCTGGGGGCAGTGAGAAGGCCGAG